CACTAGAGGCAATAAATATCAGGAGAGAGAAACAGGGCCTGATCACGCGCGATGAATTTAGGAGCAAGGAGTTGACTGAAAATTTAATCCCAAATTATTTTTAGTTTTTTAATTCAAAATGTGCATGTCAAAATTAAGACTCAGAAACTTCCAGACAAACTAAAAAGAAGCTTTTAAGTAATTGTAGAAGTTAGAAGTCTTTTAATCTAAAAATAAGTGTTCAGCTGTGACAGGCTAAATTTTGAACAGGATGGTTTAGAACCAAAATTTATATGAAATATTGTAATTTACTTCTGGAAATTGATTTTTCATCGTCATTTAGATTAGTTATTTTTGCAAATCGTGACGGTTCACATTGTTGCCAAAACGTTAGGAATTTTTTTTTAATCAAAAATATCTTCAATGATCATTTTATAAAAGGTTAATACTTTTAAACCTGATGTTGCAAAAATGTAAGTTTATATTTTTCTTTCCTTCTTCGACCACAAGAAATGAGAGGTACGAGAAAACAATCTCAGCGGTAGGCTTTCACCATAAATAAGGCAGATTTGAGGGAAATAGCGTAGGTGTTACTTGGAAAATTCTAGATAGTTCGAACAACCAATCTAGCGGCAATGCTTATCAGGAAAGAAAAACCGGGCTTGAACTTGCGTGATGAGTTTAGTAGCAGTGAATTGACACTGAAAATTTTGTCCCAAAATAGTTTTAGTTTTTTTATTTAAAAACGGATCAAAAACCTTTTTTAAATCAAAAATATTACTCAGACACTTCCAGACAAACGAGACAAACTGTTTTTGGCTCAATTTTAACTTGATGATTTAGAACCAAAATTTATGTGAACTTTTGTAAATAACCTTTCTAAATTGATGTTTTATTGTCCTTCAGATAAGGTGATTATTGAAAGCCTGAAAACGCACATAGTAGCGAAAACGTTAGAATTTTGATATATCGGAAATTTCTTCAAAAGTATAGTAAATATGGACTTTTATTTTGTTTTCGTTTTTTAGAAACCTCCTCTCTTTTAATTTTCAGCGATTCAATTTTGGCCCGAGAAAATTGCAAAACTTTGGCTATCATGGAACAAAAAATTTTTTGGCTGTTCTGTAACACTATTTTTTCAGCTATCAGGAAACGCGTTCGTTTTTCGGCTATCCGAGTATCCGTCACTGTTACATGCCGTCGATGAAAATAACAACTGTAATTTTGATCTTCTAATTGTCTTTAAGAGCTCGAACCCAAAATTTACAGCTAGAAGACAGTCGATTTTCTTTTCTAATGATTTTTTCATGATTAAGCCTTCATGAAAAATTTCAAAAAATAACAGGTGCCATTTTTTTCTTACGACAAAAAACATCTCAAAACTCAGCAAAAACTCCTAAATCTCAAGTAACTCAATTCAATTTTTTAAAATTGTAAAAAAATTTTGGAAATCAAAAAATCGAAATTTTGAAAACAAAAAGCGAACTCAAAGATTTTTCCATGCTACCAAGTAAAATAGGAAAACCAAATTGAAAATAAATTCATATAACTATCCGATATTTCCTATATGAAAATTTCTGGATTTCCGAAAATTCATTTGGTCTACACGCATACTCATTACTATAGTACTTACACTCGAACTTCTGATTACTATATACACTCTAACTCTGCACTTTCCTGGGGATAAGTTCTTCTAATCTACTATTTAAACTGGTTTAGCCATAATTTAACATTTGATGAGTTTGTATAACTTAATAAAAGTGTTGTAAAAATGTTCTGCATAAAAGTGTTCTGCATATCTTTACGACCAAAAGAGGACTGTAGAAAGATTTTTAACATCACTAACCAATCAGGGGAAGGGCGAATAGAATTGCAGGACAGATCCAGGAGTCAGGCCCCCAAAATTTCAGTACCAGGACCCCAGATACACGTGAATTTGAGCTCTTAAAAATTTCCGAAGAAACTAAAAACTAATTATGTATTTTAGTATCACAGCTCGAATCAGAACAGAAACTATGCCCAACGACACGATAATCCATTCATATAGGGACAGTCGCACAGAGGAAAAACTGAAAGTGTTAACTAAATATCCAACCTCGGAACTAAAAAGCGTAATTGCGCATGGTGTACGTTTTTTACGAATCTTTCCTATGCCAAAACTTTAAAAACCACCCGGCCCAAAAACTGTTAAAAAATTCAACAATCAAAAGCAAAACAATTCTGTAAATCGGATCCATCTCTATCAACGGTCACGCAGTAGTTTCAATAATCTTGCTATGAATCCAAACCCCTCATAGAGTTTAATGCAGAGTTACTATCGCTAAAGCTAGTTAAAAAGGTATTGATATAAGTCAAGTATTATTGTTTTGGAGTTTTCAACAATGTCAATGTTAACAAAAAACCTTTTGACTTGCTTCTTTGTGCTTATGCTCATCGATTGCAACAAAATAATCATTTTTCGAGAGTTGAACAAACTCAAAAAAATAATTACTATGGACTGCCAATTTTTTCTATGAGGTCAAATTGGGTGGCTCTCAGTAATAACATCAACATCACTATAGTGCCTCTCATGCGCACCTTACCTTTATCATTATTATTGATATTTTTCTTTTTACTAATATTAATAATTCTCGTGTTATTAACTTTATTGTCAAAATTACTTTTTTGATGCGGCGACAAAAACCCAAATCCAGGTCCATTTAATCAACTTATTGACATATCGGAGAGACTGAACGATTAAAAAAACAACGTAAGCTCTACACTTAAACTGCAGCAATTTAAACAAAAAAGAATTTGTCGGAAAATACTAGGAAATGCATGTGGTTAAACACAATGTGTGAATTTTCTGGGACATGGTTTAATGAGTCCAATCATAACAACTTATGTACACTAGATAGTGATCCTTTTGTCACCTTTCGATGTGATAGATCAGCAGCCGCAAGCCAAAAAAAGGGGGAGTCATGATACTCAGCCTGAGATCTTACACCCTTAACTATGCACAGATTTAAACGTATTTCATCAAAAATATGACAGCAATTGGGTAGAATTTAAATCATCAAAGAACATAACTGAAAGATCAGCCTTATTAAATACTTCCTGTAATCTAAATAAACCTAACAAAACAGAGTTTGTCGAAGAACTTGCTCTATCAGTTCGCTTCGCACAATCCTGTTATTTGAATATTGTTCTCATGGGCAACTACAACAAATTAAATACTGAAGAAAAGGAATCCTCTGATATAATTTCAATGCCCTTTAACTTAGAAATTGTCAATAAATCAATAACAACTCATTTAAAAACACTGATTGAGTACATTATCACAGATTTAAACTCAACTGAATTGAAGAACAAAATTTTAAATTATGTTCCAACTATTATAACTGATCACTTTGCTACATTTTTGATATCTGAATTAAAGCTAGACTGTAAAAGCTTACGCGCCCAATCTGCGATAGATCAAAATATTTGGAAAATTGTTGAAACTGTCCTAACAAGCATTAGTTGAGAGTCTTTCTGCAGGTAAAATAACCCTGAAAAAGTTTCAACGTTTCATATTCCAATGAAGTAAGCTGCCTGAATAGATCCACACCACTTAAGACAGTCTATATTCGTAATGACAAACCAAAAGTCAACCTGAAATACGATAGTATCATTTCAATTTTTTTAAATCTCATTAAAACTGAGCGACAGAAAGGGAATATAATAAATGACACAACAAAATTACACTATTAAAAAATTCATTTCGCAATAACAAGTATTAAGCAATAACAAATAACTTCAAAATGGCAAATGTATTAAATTACAAGTTTTCTAGAGTCGGATGTCTTTCAGAGGAAAAAGATAATAAAAGTGTCGGGGACCAGAAGGAAAGCAAACGAAAGCTTTGTTTCCGGTTTGTAGGTGAAGTTGAATTTAAAAAATTAAAAAGACGACTTTAAACGCAAATATACCACCCGGAACTTCTGATCTTCCAGCCTGGGCTCTGAAAAATGGGTGCACTGAAATATATCAACTACTTACATTTCTTCTAAACGGATTTATTAAGTACAATTTTTTTCCAACAAGACTCAAAAGAGCAATTGTTACCCCAACATGCAAAAAAGATGACCAAAAAAAAATTATCAATCTTCATAACAGGTTAACTCTCTGAAGTTTTTGAGAAAGTACAAAACAAACATATCAATTATTAAATTTTAACTAATAAACTGCTCAGCAACAGCCAACTTGGTATTAGAATTTCGTATTCAACGTTTAGTGCACTGAGTTTTTCCGCAAATCAATGGATGCAAACAAATATGTTGCTGTATTTTTAGTAGATCTATCAACAGTGTTCAATTCAATCAATCACGAACACTTAAAGACTAAATTGAATGACTTATTATTCTCTGAGTCAACAATTGAAACGTTTCATAGCTTTATAAAAAACAGGCAACAGAAAACTGTAGTAAGTAAATCTGCAACCAATTGGATCACACTTCACCAAGGCGTACCTCAAGGTTCAATTTTTGGACCCCTTATTTTCAACCTATACATAAATGACTGACTTGAACAAAATTTTAACTGATTCTTGCAAAGTGGTACCTTATGCAGATGATACACCTCTATTTTGTGATGATAATCAAATCAAAAATGATCTACAGCAACTGCAAAATCCTGTAGGATTTTTTTTCTCTGTACTTCACAAAACATCCTTTAAAGCTCAACACAAAGAAATCTGAGTTCATAATATTAAGCAAAAAACATCAAAGCATGTTTTTTGTATGTCATTTTTTTTCAGACTTTGATCGTTTTGTGAATATTTTTTAAAAAATTATAATTGTGATGATGCACAAAACGTGCGATAACGTTTGAAATAACATTTTAAATTTTTTATAACCTTTTTTTTTTAAATTCTAACGAGCTGTTATTTTCCTTTAAAGAAAATAGTGATTAATTTCTTCCATTTGTAGAGAATGTTACTCCCGCTTCTTGTTCATGATTTCAATAGTGTCATCTGAACGGAGAAAGACGGAGCAGAAGGTCTACGAAGTCCCGGCCTTTCCTTGAACTCCAATATCTTGAACAGGCGGAATATTTTGCGAGTTTTGATGGAACAGCAACCTCTGACCAGTGAGCAAATTATCCTCTGGCACGATATGCTGAACAACAGCATATCATCCTCTCGCACTCACAATTATTTGCCCTGCCCAATCGATGAACGATTGGCGTATCTACAATCGAAACGAAAAAAGTAAGTGCCATTGTCTACTGCAGGAGAACGAGCACTCCCGATTTTTTAAGGAGCTGCGGAAGACAGAGATAGTCGATATAAGGACAACCGGTACCCTTATCTCTAGAAGCAAGAGACAGAATCCTGCGTTCCTCAGAGTATCTTCAACTGCATCAGTCAAGTGTATTGGAATTGAAGTCGCTACGGTTTGTTCTGTCCCATCAAGACCACCTGCCAGGCTTTTTCTCAAAGATACGGGCCCAGATCAAGAAACCATCGCAGGAACGCCGACGGGCAAAGGCGCGGAGGGCAGAGGTGTTGGCTGGGAGCCTTCAGCTGGAGACGAACGACCAAAAAGTTGTAAGGTATTGTTATTTCTTTGCCGAGTGCCATATGAATCTAAGTGCTCCTGGCCTGCGAAGAAGAGATGACCGCAAGTTCGCTGCCACCACTATTACTTAGATTGGTCCTGAAAAACAAATCAACTGAAAACTTGTGATAGACTATTTAAAAAACTTTTTAATAAATTTAATAGCAGTTTTTTGAGATTTAACTTTCTGAGAAAATGTCTCGATAACGACATTAGTCCAGATTTTTACAATTTTGCGTGCCTGAAAACGGTGTTTTGTCGGATCAAGCGGTGTACAGCTTTCAATTGAGACTCCTGCCATTTGAGATAAGCCATACAAATGCAGATAGTAATAAGGCATCGGGTAACCTAGCAAGAGCAAGGGAGGTAATGAGAAGGGGTATACATGAGAAGTGGTGGCCTTCGGCAACATTCTACGTGAATCTGCAAGCAAGGTGTAGTGTGAATAACCTGATAAGCCGACACAAAGAAATGCTTGAAAAACTTTCGAAAAGACAGGATAGACCATGAAAAAACTTGGTTGATAGGTCAGTAGGAATCGCAGGTGAAGTGATTTTGCCACAGTGGGTGCGGGATGTCTTAAATTTTGGACTGAAACATCCGGTACGAGAAAAATTCATTGAAATTCACTTCCTCGGGGATAATGATGGTTTTTGTCCAAACTGAAGTCAAATAGAATACCCGGAGAAAAATTATATGAGATTGAAGCAGC